GGGAGATGGGGTCTACTGGAATAAAAAAATATTATTCCATTTGGTCCCACCTCCCATCTGAGGGGGTGGAATCCCTGATGTACACCACTTGATGTACACGTATAAATATCCTATGTGAAATATGATTTAGGGAGTGTGTGCTTGTGGAATACATTTGCTGGTTTGTTTGAATCCATTTTTTAAAAGAATAGGTTATGTAATACTAATTTTTTGAGTAGGAATTTTTTTTTTTTTTGATTTACACATAAAATTATTTTATTGAAAGAATGTATGGTTGAAAATGATTATAAAATAAAGAGAATTTTAAAAGCATGAGACTTAGACAAGGGCTTCATCTGTAGGCATGAGTTCTCGACTTATTAATGGTATTGGAGAATGACGAGCTCATTATATTTACTCTTTAGCTCCGTGTCCTATAAATTGATTAAATTAAGAGAAAATTATCCTAAACCTTACACTTTAAATTTCAAATTCAAAAATCATAAGGCAAAATTATATGAAGTATATTTTATCTTTTGAGCCATTTTTTCCTCTTGCCCTCTTCAAGACCTTCATTGTCCTTTTATAGGGAAGGATTTACATGCATATTCCATTTTTCTGTCTTATCAGCTATAGTACCGAGTTGAGAAAGTACATAATTGGTACGTGAGGATTGGTTAGGGAGCTCGGCTTGTCAGGTTATCATGAGTTAACCTTACTATTGGTCCATAGCAATTAATGAATTACTTAAGGCATGAAGCTAAGTCATATGATTGGTTAAACTGGTGACAGCTGATATACGACCTTCCATATGTCACTTGTCGATTGACTGTTTATACAATGCGTAAAGAATTTTCAATCATTACGTACCCTCAAATATTAGTAATAACGTGATCCGAGCTGATCTCACATATCCGGGCTTACATTTGCACAAGCTTAATGCCTACAACAAACTGTACTTAATGACATCATATGTCGGATGTTGACAAAAAGGGTTCAGATTTTTTTTTTTTACCTGAGCGAACCAAACTTTTTTGAATTTTTTTCAAACTTTTTTTTTTTTAATTTCGGGCTCGAGTCGACGCTCCAAAATGGAGCTTGTTTCTACCGAGCCACGAGCTAGCCCAGTTCGAGTTTTTCCTGGGCCGAATGCGAGCTACATTGATACTCATAACTCATTCATGTTTGGTGTACATCATGATTTATGTTATTGTTTACACTTTGTCACATGACATTATCCAATTTGATCGTTCAAAAAATAATAATTTTTTATCCAATTATTTGTTGACAACAATGCAAATATCAATAATTATGTAAAAATGAGTGTACAAATGACATAATTTTTACTCGCTTTAACTAATTTTTTTCCAACATCATTGTCTAAAGTGATGCAACTATGCATCGATGTTACAATAAAAGTCTAGATAATACTAAGTAATTTTAAATGATGGACCTAACTAAATGAGTCTAATATTATCAATTTTAATTGAACATATTACGATAACAATATTCTCGTGTAAAAATTTAAACGGTTGAATATGCTTTAATTACTTGTTTACAATTAATTTACTATTCACGAGACTTGCATTTAAAACTTTCATCCATTAATATTTTACTCTTATTATGAGTTTTAACAAAACAAGAATAAATACTAACGTTGGAAAATTGGACAGAGGACGACGAGTTCGATTGAAAAAAAAAAAAGAAACTGAGTATTCGGTTCGTTTACATGCTAAAAACTGCCTAGTTAAAAATGGAGAAGAAATCCAGTTTACATGCTAGTTCTACGGAGAACAAAAGAACACCTACAAACGAAAGGCCAATGTTGTTATCATGTTCATCGACATCGACGTTGTCTTCAATGTGTTGTTCCGCTTGAGCACCTGCAAACAATGTACTGCGACCCTGTCCAACCCCAAACTATTGTGAGGATGATGACATGTTTCCCAGTACTAATATTACGCAAAGTGCGATTTGAGTTTGCACTGGAACATAACACTTCAAGTCCCAATCATCTAGAACGTCCGCTAGAGATAGATTCATCATAAGAACTTTCAATTTGAAACTTGTAGACTACATCCGGTCATTAACATTCAGATGAAATTTTAACTCATGAACTAGTTGTGTGTGTTGGTCGATTTTATATGTCAATGGTTGTTTTAGACAGCAAATTAGTTAAGTTTAATTCACATGAGCGTAATTAAACTTTATAGATGGAAATGAAGAAGATAAGTAAAAGAAAATAACGTGAATAATGAAATCCCAAGCAAGTGAAAACACTTTCTCCTTCAGACAATATTGCCCCGCAACGATGCGACGATATACGACACTTATCTTCCAAAATACAACAAATACAACTTGTGGTAGAAGTACTTCAACCACAAGTAACATGGAACTTAGAACGAAAATTTCTTTGTACATGAAAATGGTTTTGGAATGATTTATGAAGAATATTTTGCAAGAGTTTTTGATATAATGCTCAATGTAAATGATATAGGATTCATAATGGATGTCCAAATGGTCTTTTTTTTTTATAAAGGAGGAAAAATTGTGAGTGAAGTGATGCGTCCTAAACTTAGCAACCTTTGCCAAATGTCGCAGCATTTGTTGTCGCAAGCCTATCACTCCAGTGATAGTGACACCTATTCATTAGAACCTATATCGCTCACTTGTCGCTTGAGCGACATTCTTATCGCTCGAGCTAGAGTTAGCCATTTTCTCGCCCGTATTTTCTTTTTTCTATCTAATTTTGGACCGCAATTTCTCATTAATTCGAATTTAGTTTTAAGATTTCAAATATACCACATTTATTTACTTGACGAGTAGAATAAGTTAGTCTATTTATATTCATAATTTCACTATCGAATCAAGTTCAAATATTTGGTTAAATTTGACATGAAAGTCACTTTTCCATACTTAATTTTATTTTCATTCTTTAAACTAAATCCAACAATCCTCCACATGAATGGAAATTCGATTATGCTCATACTATGCAGAAATATGATGCATTGTAGAGAGAGAGAGATAGCAGAAAAACACTACATCAGGTAAGGTAGCTTCCGGCCTTGAACCTTTCTTAGTGAAATATTATTGGATTTACTTGACATTAGTGAACGTGATGTCTGAACTACTCAGTCATTGGTGTTAACAAGACAATAATACTCACACTAATATCTTTCTTAAATCGTTCATAGTTCTCATGACGTGGTTCATTTTGGCCCCGAACCACTCTTAGGTTTTATAAGTGTTTAGAAAATTTTAGCCTTTGAACAAATTTCATTGAATCGGTTCTACCTCACACTTACATATGTGACCTCCTATTAAAAGTATTCTGCCATACTCCATTTGACTTAATGAAAATATAGGAATGATTGAAAGGATATCTTAATTTAACATTCTGTAGAAATCACTTTAATTATCATAAGAATGAGTTATGAAATATTTTTTCAAGTGCTTTATTGAATTTTCATAACTTAATTGTCCTTCTGAACCAGAATTTTGGGATCTCAGTCAACAAGGTAGAGTTAACATTACAAAGATTCTTAAGTAGTTGGCTTTAATCCCATTTATTTCGATATGCAACATACTTAATGTCTCGGTAAACTTTTAGTAAGTGGATCCGCAATATTCTCATTTGACTTCACATAATCAAAGGAGATAATATCATTTGAGATCAATTACTTAATGATATTGTGTCTAGACGTATATATCTAAACTTACCGAGCTATTCTAATAGCCAATTGACTATCACAATGTATACTAATTGCATATACCAGCTTAGGCCAACATGGAATCTTTTCCAAGAAGTTAAGAAGCCAGTTTGCTTCTTCTCCAGTTTTGTCCAAAGCAATAAACTCTGATTCCATCATTAATCGAGCTATACACATTTGTTTTGTCGACTTCCATGATATAGCTACTCCACCAATGGTAAATTTATAACCACTAGTAGATTTAGAATATTTTATATCAGCTGTATTCTAATACCATGAGATATTTTGTGAAATGTAATCTATATGTTAAAATATACTTCAAGTACCTAAGAATTCTTGTTAAAGCCTTTCAATGATCATGACTTGGATTATTTGTGTACTAAGTTTGTTCACAACAAATGTTATGTCCGATCGAGTGTAGTTTGTAATATACATTAGACTGCCTATAATCTGTGAACACTTTAGTTGTGACACACATTCACCGGTATTTTTGACTAAGTGTAAACTTGTGTCAATAGGCGTTTTGCAGGATTTTCCTCAAGTACATTATATCTTTTAGGTATACTCTCAATGTAGTGATATTGATAAATTATAATTTCTTCTGATGTTCTAGAGATCTTAATCCCTAATATTATATCAGCTACACCCAAGTTTTTCATATCAAAATGTTGTGTTAACATTCTCTTAGTGTTTAGCATTATTTCGTGACTATTGACCATTATCAATTTGTCATCTACATATAGATATACAATCACGTAGACCTTTGGTGTATGTTTAATGTATTCACACTTGTCACTCTCGTTTATTTTAAATCTATTTGACAACATTGTTTTGTCAAACTTTTGATGCCGCTATTTACAAGTTTGTTTCAATCCATACAAGGACTTAACTAATTTGCAAACATTTTGTTTATAATTAGGAGAGATGAACCCTACGAGTTGTTCCATGTATATCTTCTTTCTAACTCACCATTTAGGAATACCGTCCACTACGCCAAAAATGAGCTTTCGCAACACATAAAAGGCAACATTCGACAGTTAAGTGTTGCTAATAAAAGCTGCAAAAAGTTGACCCTTTTGCAGCGTTTATAAACGTTGCGGAAGATCAAGCTTTTCGCAACGTTTAAGAAACGTTGCGAAAGATGCTTTTCATAATTTTTTTATATTTTATGATGATTTCGCAGTGTTTGTTTTTTAAAACGTTGCGAAAACTCCCTCCATCCCTTTAAATCAAGCCCTAGCTTTTCCTCATCTCGCTCCGCCCCTCCTCTCTTCTGTTCTTTCTCAGCTCTACCTTCCTCTTGAGACGAAAATGGCGTCTTCATTCGACCAAAGTCCCCTCTTACCGGGTATAAAGGTCCTCCCCTCCGCTCTCATAGCCACCATCATGACCAATCTCGACATCCGCTCTATCCAATCACTCGCATCCACTTGTAAGACCTTCCGCTCCTGCGCCGCCCACATCCTGTCTTTCATCCCCACCTTCCACCTTTTTGTAAGATATAATCATATACTTGGTATGAGTTTTTTTTTCTTTTATCCTAGTTTTCGGTTTATATGTTTCAATTCTGGTTTTATTTTCAGGATATAGCGCCGTTGATGGATTTGTTGAGACCTTTGTTACCTTCAAACCCGTACTTGAGGAGCCTAAAGGTGGATTGCACACGCCTTGATGATTCCTCCCTCGATTTCCTGATTCGCCCCTCTTTGCCAGAGCTTTGCCACTACAATTGCGCCGACTAGTTGTGGAGGCTACAAAGCATTGCATCCTAAGGTTGCGAATATTCATTTTTTTATACTCTTAGTTGATTATTTTTGCCTTTGATATACTTGATTTTGATAATTAATTCAACAGATCTGTCAACTAGCTGAATCAAACTAGGATGCAATTTTTCTTAAGGTTAATTATGAAGAACTTAAGACCACGTGCCATAGTCTGCACATTCGTGTCCTGCCCTTCTTCAGATTCTATAGGGTGCAGAGGGCAAATTGTGTAGTTTCAGCTGTACTAATGCAACCATAAGTAATTATTTTTACATTCTATTTAATTTTTCGAGAATTTTTATTTGGAATCATTTTCTAAGATTTAACATTGTCTGATTGATGTTGGGGTGTTTCTTAGTTGTTTAAATGTGTTGACAGGGGGTTGTTTGATTTGCAGTATTTAGTTTGCAATGAATAATTATGTGTCTTTAGTGCTATTTTGATTTATTTGTCTTTAGTTATCAATAGTGTGCAAGGAGAATTGATAGAAACCAATGGAAGTCATAGAATGCTCGAAATTATGGGGGAATATTGAGAATTAAGTAGAAATAATTGTCAGATTCAAAGTGCTATGTATTCATGGGATTAGATTTGGGATTGAGTTACTAGAATTAAGGAGCTTTTATGGGTTGTTCTTGTATTTAAGAAACGTCTGTTGTGGTGTAGAGCATCCAACTATTCTATAATTCATTTTCAGAAATAAAATTCTTTATTATCCCTTTTTTTCCAAGTTCATATGAAACTCTTACCTGTAATAGAAAGATTTTTTAGGTGAAAAGGGCATGTTCTTATTATTGAATAGGGAGGCTAAAGAACAGATTTTTTTAACTGCAGTTCATTTCTTGTTCCGGTCATATCTGCTTTATCTGCTTTAACTCCCAAATATGCTTGTGGGACATCAATGCAACTCCAAGGAATAAGATGCAATGCAAATTTTTAAGGTATGTACTGATAAAGAAACTTTTATAATTCCTTTTGTTTGTCTTACTTTTTTCAGCATACAATAGATCTTGTCTCTCAGGTTGTTCTGGATTTTCTTACCTTGAAATATTATGGTTTCTTTGACAATCATCTAATACTTCCAATGTGTAGATTCGTGAAGGCGTTGTAGAAGACGTAGCATGGCATCTCAGGCATGAGTACTTGTTTGGTTCGGCTGGGGATGATCAGTATCTGCACATATGGGATCTCCGTACTCCATTAGGTAGCAAGCCTATTCAATCTGTAGTTGCTCATCAAAGTGAAGTAGGTCTCAGTTGCAATTCGTATTTCCGTTGAGGTGGAGAACTGGACTGTTTATATTGTTTTATTTGATTTCTAAACTATTCACGCGGGTTTAATATACAATATTGAAAATCTATCTTATTGAAGCATTAGCAATACTTTCTGGGTGAATTCATCAGTTAAAAGCACACATGCACCAAGTTTTATATCACATTTTCAAATCCAGATGCTGAGTAACAACAAGTCCTTCAAAATGTTAGTCTTCTAGACTGCTGATACATAAAGCCATTTTGCTGCCATATGTTTGTTCTTTCTGTCTGCTTGAGGCTGCTGACTTTAGATATCCTGATGTTCGATGCAACTTCCAATTTTCTGCTGTAAAATACAAACCAACATTTGTAAACAGCGGAAGAATTAATTTGTTTTTTTTGGCTAGTCACTTCAACTGATCTATTTAAGTAAGAGCTTACAGAATAGCTTATCTGTCGCATATTAAGTCTCCCTAAGCTGTTCCTTGAAGTATCTGGTCAGCATTATGTTCCCCATAGGCACGCTATATCTTTTTTATGCTTCAGCTAGAAAACCCAGACTGGAGGAAGCAATGTATTCCTTAAACCTCGATATTTAACCAATATCTATTAACATCTCCATTCCT